AAAACCGATATCTCGCTCATAGTTCAACTAAAACAAAGACTGAAAATTTGTGCTTTAATTGGAGACGAAATTTTCTTGACAATGAGTCCTGTTTTGTGCTTTCGAACTACTGTTGCGTCCGAGCTATATAACAAAGTCAAGAAAATCAGGAAAATCAGGAAAAATGGGCAAAATCAGGACGAATCAGAACGCTTTTTAAAAAATCAGGAAAAAATCAGGAAAGTAGTGTCGCTGCGACCCCTGTATTTTTTTCTACAACTATTATTAGTTGCAGCTCTGGACAGAAGGCCAGTCTGACACAGAGTTTCTCACCCTTAATTTCATAAGTTTCCCATGTATGCTGAGTAACCACAAGATTTTTTTTGTGTATGTCAATAACGTAGTCAGTGTGCTATTGGATGGGTGGTTCGAGACAAACAGTCGTTAGTGACTTGTTCAAGGTCATTCTATGTCTGAAGACGCCGAGGTTCGAACATCTTAACCATTGAGAGTCATAGCGGTTTCGACATATTTGATTGAAATGTTTAAGAGAAATATTTTGAAAACTTAGGAATAAAAAAATATTTTTATTATTGTAGTTTAGATAAATATTTGAATAATTGTTTTGTTTTTGTTTAAAAGGAATCACGTTCTTAATATGAGTATTGTTTTCGAAACCTTACTGGCTATATTGATATCTTACACACCATATATCAATCGTGGTTTAATGATGTATCCATTAAAGTAAATTTATTATAATAATATATTTATATAAATGAACTGAATTATTTTTTTAGATTACATTGGTGGTTTTTACCATTACCATTTACATTACTTGTTTTAATTTATGATGAATGGAGAAAATGGATGATTAGAAAATATCCTGGTTCAATTATTGATCAAGAAACTTCTTATTAATATAATAGTTTTATTTGTCAAATTTTTTTTATGTTGAAGATTATTTTAGATTAATAAAATCATTGATTAGAAGTTTAGAAAGAAAAATATTGATAATCAAATAAAAATACAAACTAAAATTTTATTTTGTGTCTTTTTTTTTCCTTACTTTACTAGAACTTCTACAAAATAATTAACTTCTCTCGATAAAATACTCTTTTTTATGAATAATCATTATTTATTGATTATTACTTTGAATCTTTTAAAAATAATAAATATATAAATAACTTTTCAAGGATTTTTCTCTCTATGGATGATTAATCAGGTTAGATTAATTATTTTTTTTTAATTATGCCAAAAAAAAACTGTGATCCTAAGATCCTATCAGTACATATGAGTAGACAAAGGAAGAAAAAGAGAGATAACAAAAACAACAACAACAGGAAAAAAAAATCATAACAACAGGTTGTATAACAAGATAGTGAGGTCTATACAAGAAAAAAAATAAAATTAACACATAGAAACAAAAGATTCAGCGAAATCCTCAAGGAGTTGGATTTCGTCGATCTCATAAATAGGTACCGAAGAACGAGAGGGGATAGAAGCCATCTAACCAACAATTTTTTCGATTATTGAATGGTGAGGAATAAATCTTTTTGATGTTCTCAGACATTTAATTGAAAATTGTTTTTCAATCCAAATCTGTCTGAATACATTCAAATTAGCTTTTTCAAACAATAACTCACCATCTATCGAGTCTGCTAGAGCTTCAAGGTATTTCTCCCAATACGAATAGCATCTGTCATCAAGGGACTTCTCATCAAGAGCAAATGCGAACAAATTTTCATTCCAATTTAGACAATACAATACACGCCTAAGCGAAGTATAATAAAAATGAGACAAATCTTGTTGTTGTTTTTCAGAAAGAAGAGGATAAATCGGATAAATCCAGGTAAAAATAGGTAATACAAAGGATAGAAAAAGAGTCTTACGAAGATATGGAGTAGAACAACCAAAGATCTTAAAAGATTTGATCAAGGAAATTCTTTGCCTAATTTTAGTCATCATACATTTTAAAAATTTACCCCAACCTAACTTTGATGAAATTAGATAACCAAGGTACTTATATTCTGGGACCCATTTAATTATTTCTTTTGTTCCATGACAAAAATGAATGACGAAATTACGATGTCCAATTGCTCGTGCACTAAACATAGCTTCAGTTTTATTGAGATTAATAGGCTGATCAGTTAAACAGGACTAATATTCAAGTTGATCAAGAAAAACTTTAACCCTTTTTTTCTAAATCAAGACGTTGAGTCGAATAATTTATTCCTAATTGACCAGCCATAATTCCAGCTAAATTGTCAGCAAAGAAGTGACTTATGCAGCCAGATAGAGAACTACCCATATCACAATTATATGTAATGAATAAGGTTGGAGTAAGAACAATTCCTTGAGGACCACCTTTTTCGATAGAGAACCAACGAGATTTACTGGCATTGATTTCTATAAAGCAACGTCTGTTATTTAACCATACTTCAATCCAATTTAGAAAAGATGAAGGGATACCCAAATTACGTAGTTTTCCAATGCAACCTAGAAACCACAATTGATCAAAAGCAGCGCGAAAATCTACAAAAATAGTA